ATTCAAAACATTACATTATATTAAAGATAATTACAAAGCAATGGATCAATTTAAAACACAAATCCAAGTGCTCATTTTGTTGTACCTTTGCACATTGGAAATTCGGCTGCTTCTTAAGGACTTTCTCAGCTTCCTGCAGAGCCTTCTTGTTATTGCCATTGTCAAGCCAATCTAGAAGAGCAGAGATATATTTAAAAATACAAATGTTTACAATCTACTCATACAAAAGCAACATGTACATTATTCCACAAAAGAATACAACCCTACACCCAAATAAATGTATTTATTCTCAAATGGTTTCCTACCAACATATCCCGACTTCTTATATTGCATTATTACCGTATATTGGACGAAGTCTTCTTTCACCAACACTACTATCCACATGGACCTTCGCAGCCATATTTGACAACAAATGCAGACTTTGTACGCGAGACGGGGGAAGAATCGCAATATCGTCTGCTAAAAAAGCCGGGATATTTAAATAGTTTTAACTGAACGTTTACATTATAAATATGCAACATTTTTGTTTCGCACCAGGAATAAAAAAATTCCATTTCGAAGAAGAAAGAACATTACAATTTACAAAACCAAGAGAACTCATATTCCCAACCTGCGTTCTCAACTAAGAACAATGACAACAGTACAATATACTTTGGTAGATATCAGCACAGATTATAAAACCTTCACATCAGTACGTACGTTAGCAACGCAGGTGGTGTATGACATCATTGACATCACTGCCATCTATCCCCAGCGATGGCGAAACAACAACAAAATGAGTGCCAACAACTACGAGTTCAGTCGGTAAAAATGTTACTTGCTATCCAGTGCATCACGATCCCCCCATTCACTGCTCTCACTAATGAACATGAAGATGGCCGTCTTCCGGGTTGCAACGCCGTGTAATCTGACGATGGAGGCAGCAAGTACCTCAGAACCGCTGGTAAACGTCTACCAGACAACATGGCATTGCAATTCTGAAGACATGCATCTTCACATATGCTGCTGTGAGAAAATCGAATCCTATATATTCATCAATGAATAGATTACAACCCTGATACCTAGTACTGCAGAGGAACTTACTCCGTTTTAAAAATGAGAGCATGTGAACTTATTTAACTAGTAAACAGAGGATATGAAGTAAGACATGAAAATGGCGGGAGAAGAATGTGCCAGACACTAGATGGAGGATAATTGATGACAGACTAGGAAATTAAGAAAGAAAACTAAGATATCGGAGACGAAAAATATATAAAAGAAACGTGAAGAAAAAATATATCGAGTTCCGTAGCACATTGAGGGGTCAAGGGATTACTGCAGACCTTACGGAAGAGTATTTTAGTTGCACCTCTTTTTGTGTTAAATGCTATGGTGAAATAGTTAAGAATAACTAACTTTCTCGCCTCTGTCGTTACGAAAATAACATGCTCCAGTAACCAGGGCACTGTGTGTTTGCAAACAACATAACACAAGGCTCCTAACATAAATGAAATCAGGCTCATTTGACGGGTGAGTTGTTTGAAGCATCACATGAACGAGGGCAGTACATTAAATATATTCTCTGTCTTTAACAGAACGATTGCTACTTGCAGTTTTCAGTACATTAAATATATTCTCCGTCTTTCAGAACGATTGCTACTTGCAGTTTAAAAAAAAAGGAATTCTGTTTCCTGACCTTCCACTTTCTTTTACCTTAAAAGACTCTAGGTATCCCCTCCCTCTGTCGAAACATTTCCTCAGGTGAACACACTGTACCTGGACCGCCATGTCGTCGGACAGGTAGAGAGAGAGAGAGATAATACGAGTGGCAGTCGGTCTCAACAGCTGATGGAACAATCTGAAGTCGGTGTTGTTAAGAAACAGCAGGTATAACGACCGATCAGATCTCACAAGCGTGTGTTGAATCATTGATGGTGTCACCGGACGTGAATCAATCCTAATGTTTTATGGAATTACGAACTGTTATAATTGAAGGAAGGTAAGTCCACTTAATATTATTTTACAGACGCCTTTGCTTTCCAAAGCCAATATTAGAAGTATTCGAATAAGTGTTAAAAGTCCATCATGCAATAGCGTCTGTAGAATTAAACTACCTGATGTCCTTAAGATATAATTTTAATTTCTGCAGGGAAGTGCTACCCTTACGTTCGGCGCAGAATTGTTGCTAATCTTACTATTAAAGTTTTTATTTCTATTGTGTGTTCCAGTCCAATTCACGAAAGACAAATGACATAACTTCAATCAATTATGTATCACACAGAACCAAAAAAAATTTGCTCTAAGTAATTGTACTTTAATGCTGGTTTAGGTATTATTAATATGTATATTTTCATTATAAAATAATAAGAATTTAAGCAACCTACACATACATGCACTTCATATTATTGTGTGTTTTCTCATTTTTTTATAATTTATAATATGTATATATTACGTGACGGTGGTCTAGCGGTTAGAACGCTGGCCTTGTAATCCTGGGGTCTCGGGTTCGATTCCCGGCGGTGCCCAAATTTATAACTTGTGTTGGGCAAGGCCGTGGTCTAGGCAACACGGAGTTTTCCTCCGGGGGCTTCCCCGGTTTCTCCGTGGCATCCCAACAATTACTCCATTCACACACAGAAGAAGGCAATGGCAAACCACTTCTGGATCATCTGCCAAGAACGTATATGAACAGGTCCCAGTCCGAGGAAAGGATGGAAGGATCCTGTTCATATGGACCTGTCGTCAGACAGAACACTAAAAAAATATATTACGTGCAGTTTTCTCTCATAGCACATTTTAATTTTCTACAATTTACGCCGCGTGATCCACATCTGTCTATATGAGGTACTTTTCACGGAATTTTCCATAAATGTCTTTGTTAATATAGGAAGCTGTAAAAATTCTATATTGGCCCTTTATTAATTATTACCTTTTGGTCCGGAAACATCGCGGCTTACCCTGTGATACAAATCCAACAGACGAGTAATAAAAAGTTTTTCAGGTGAGTAGAAACGAAATTATCTTGAAGACGCATAACTCAACGAACCATCTCATGACAGTTACCAGATTCTTTCAATCGGAACGTGAAAGGGCATTAAAAACCTCTTAATGTAGCATTGCCAACTCATTTACATGATTAACTCCGACTTTTTCATAAGCTGATAGTCGCTCAGCTACTTAATAAATTGCCCGCCTTTTACCGAAAGTTACATTTGTTACAGTACTCGCAAGAGCCCGCCACCGGCATTTCTCCTGGGCCAGATAAAACCAATCTATGTCCTCCCACCTTCTTCATTGCGATTGATTTTAATATTATCCTATATTACCCTGACATCTACACGAAGGTCTGCCCAGAGCTCTCTTCCTTTCAGAATTACCGATCTAAATTTTATAAGTACTTCTTACCAGCACCATGCGCGCTGCATACCCTACTCATTTTATACTCCTTGATTTAATTATCCTGATACTGTCGGGAGAAAAGTTAAAATTTTGACGCTTCTTATTTCAAAATTTTCTCCATCTTTCTGTCACTTTAACCATCTTCGGTCCAAATACTCTCCTCAACGCACTATTCTCAAAAACACCCTCGATTTGAATTTTTCTCTTGACATAAGAGACTGTTTTATACTCATACAAAACATCAAGTAAAATTGTAGTTTCCCCCAAATTTAGTTTGCTCTTAATTTTTTATGAATGTAATTCTGATTTTCTACCGTAATTCCTTCCCACTTACTTAAACTTTGCCATAATCTCCAAGGATTTACTAGCCATGTTTATTTTTTGATTTTGTCCTGCGTTATGGTGACGAGATATTAACATAGTTTTTTTCTGCACATTCGCATGACCAGAGAACAACATGTAAATCCTCATAACAATGACATAAGTCGTGAGAAAATGGGAGAGGTGAATTATATAAACTCATCAAACCTTGAAGATTAAGATTGAATATGATTAGTTTCTTGAGAACATTCTTGTGAAGAATCATTTTCCATGAATGCTATTTCACTTTAGTTGTACATACGTTCGTCTGTTTTAAATTACCTACCAAACAAAATCCTGCATACTTATCACGAGAGCTTTGATTGTTATCTCCTTTACATAAATACGTTGGACGTGAGCCGTAGGTAAAGATCAAAATTTAGTAAGCAACTTCACAATTTGTAAAAGAGTTGTAATTCCTATGATTTAAGACGCTTATTTCAAAATGCAGTGAACAAATTAGTCGAAGAAGTAACTGTGTAAGTCAGCCGTTGATATGTAGTGTTACAATGGCCCCTTTTAACTGTATACACAGAATATTTAATTTAATTTAATATGAACCCCTTCACGCACAAAACAACGAAACAAGTGTCAATATTAAATTCTTGCAGTTGTATGCCGTTGTTGCAGTGATGCGTTGCTTCAAATAATTACGTCCGTAATTTAGCTCTTTTGTCGCTTAACGAGCCCTTGTCACAGACAAATACTTCCTCTATCTCGAATGTTAGCAGTCGGTGTAATGTTGTCTTATTCGGTATTTCCTTGTCAGAACACGTACTGATAACTGTTTCACCAACACCAGCAAACGATATCGATACAAAGAAATGTTCGAGAATAAACACACATTCTGATCGTAAATACGCCATATTTGCATCTGCATAACTTTTTCGTTTTCCTAAACCTTTTAAATTATTTTAAAATAAAATAAAATGTTAACACGTTCGACTAAAGATCTTTGGTTTTGATTAAGGTGGAATAAACCAAGTTAATTGCATAGTTACATGGTGGAAGGTAATTACCTCTTGCTAATTTCTTCTATGCCTGAAGAATTCTTAGGCGTTTTCGAAGTAGGCCAGAGACGCTAACAGTCGTTAACAAATTTACATGTTCCACGTGCAACGAAAGTATGAGAACCACCGGTACAGGGCACTGAACTACACAATTCTAGGATACGTTAAAGTAGATTTCACTATTTTCATATGAGTAAACGAGTTTCGTTCACTACGAAAGAATGAAAATAAAAAATATGAAGAGAAAAATAAGTACAGACTAGTTTAGTATAGTATGAACTTAGTAGATTACATGTGCTAATTACCCTTGAAACGATAGATTTGTATCTGCAACGAATATACTTAAGGACTTTAATGTCAATGATGAACATTCTGCTTCGTGTTCGGGAGACCCCGGATTCAAATTTCGGTCTGAATAAGGTTATCCTGACTCAGCCCTGAATAATACCTTTTTATTAGGCCACAACAGCTTCATTCTATGTACCTCCCAATGAATTAATCATTACACATTCTATTTACCATACCACTGAAGCCCACTATGACTCTTTGGATAACGTTTCTGCCAGCTTTCGAAAGCTTCTTCCAACATTTTGTAATACTTTTTTGGACGTGGGGTACGTATCGTCGCAATGAATACCATCTAGTCTGTGACCTGTGATCATTAACCTCAAGTAAACCTTACTTCCTGTCTCACTTCAACACAGGTACTTACACAGAAGTATAACTGGCCTCGTTCTTGAACATAAGTAGGTTGGAAGAAAACTCGCTCAACAACCTTTACTACAAGGTCAGTATTCTTGCAGTGCTTGGTTATAAACTCGTTTAGTTGTGTTAGAGCCTGCAAAATTATCATTTATAGTAAAACAGTAGAACTGAGATATACCATAGCAGTTCACGGAAACCTTGGGCAATGATTTCTTTCTTGAATAAATCTACGTTATTGAGCAGTAATTTATAGATGATGATCAATATTATAAATGGCTGTCAGGAGTAAACATAAACTACTGGGATCGGATATCAGATATCCTTACTGAAGTTTTTCGTGTTTATCCTCGGACCGTCCGTCTTTATGTAACATCATGGACGATGATGTCAGAATGACAAGAAGGAAATTAATGCGACAATGGTAACCATGTCATTGTTGTAATCATGTGATTAAAGACGCGACAGACATAAATGGCCTTACTTAAGCGTAGACGAAAAACGCATTACGCTAAAGTGTATAAGACGCCTCAAAATAATATTGACGTTAATATCGTTATAGGATTCAGTAGCGGTCTCTTGTGAGCACGACAGTTACCACTTTGGTTCTATGAATGGCGGAAATAATCATATTATACAATATTCATCCGATTTTTTCTGTGTCTCTTAAATAACCTCCAATTACAACTAAGATCTGAAACTGAACTTACGTACAAAACGCTGTTGGATAGTGTCCAAGAAATTCAAACGTTCATGACTCGCGAATAGGGGAAACAAGAAATGTATAAAGTATTTTAACGGGGAGACTTCTTGAAAAAATAGCCAATTGGAAGACTCAGATGACAGAATATTAAATTTTATCTTCCGAAAATGTGTTATGGAAATGCTGGTTGTATTTAACTGGCTCAGAGTATTTACCAATTTGCTACTACCTTCGGATCACAAGCAAGGAGAGTGATTTATAGTTTTAATTCTTAATCCCAGAAACTGATGATATACGAGATGCTTGAGGTCGATAGTTGATGACCTGAAGTTTCCTCGTTTCAAGACCCATCGGGAATGTATGCGTAGGAATACAGGTTATGTGCTTTTGTAACTCCACTAAATGTTTCAAGGATTGACCATACACGAGCAGTTTGTATTAAAGCAGTGCACGACGGCAAATTTTAAAATCTCATAATGTATGTCCTGGTCGCAAGACAAATAATAATATAATTAATTCTCCAGTTTGAATTAACAAACAGCAAATTATCAATAATAAGCCTTATTGATGATAATACTAGGAAAGAAATACAGAAGTGAATATTCTTATGGCTTGCATTTCTACGTTCGTCTTATTTGCCATTGGTTCCTTTGATAAAACTTTCCAGAAATGAATTCTTTTTCAACATAAATAAATATTCAACCTTACACTACAGCATAAATTCTTTGAGGAGTGCCAACTTGAAAAACATTAACTAAAGTTGGACTCTCAAGTTCGAAGTGTGAATGGTTTCCGTTTTATTGCCTACTAACATGACACTGTGGCTATGATCGTATCCGGGAGGTCCCGAGTTCTGCTTTCCATCTTCGTTAATTAATCTACAGATTACAGAAAGTTTTCATGCCGGAACATTTAAATCTCTGATATTCTTTCCGGAGATGCTCGGTTGGTTTCCAGTCTTACGTACTACTTAGTTGTCGTAGTTGACGCTATGAAATTTTACGCTTCGATAGTTTCCACGCTCTATTTCTGTTGGCAATCATTTGAAATCCACTTGATCAACCAAGGCAATTATATTCATATAATTTAATGACAGAAGTGGAGTTTTTCCTTTGCTGATACTTTCACGCGCCATTTGAGCATACAATCGCTAGAAGAAATAAATGAAAGTCGATTCTCACGAATGACCGGTCAGTTTAGTCGTAATGAACACTAAGCAAAATGTAGAATTACTGACTGCTAAACTACATGGTACATATAATTACCACTAGTGTTAAATTAGCCAGCGACATTTTATGTCCTTCCATCAGTTAAGGATTTGGTCCTACATGCTTAGAAATCTAACGTGAGAGCTTACTCAATTTCTACATTCTAATTCTACTCGCTTAGCCAGCCCTAACCGCTACATGTCCAAACACCTTTCATTGTCATGATGCATTTGTTGTCGGTCTACTGCACCACAGTACGTAAACGCCCTCATGCCCCACATACGTCACTACGTGACCGTCAACTCAATGATCATTACTTCGAAACTATTTGTACCTGTGTCCGGAACCAGGAACAGACCTGACACACTTGTCAGAAACGTTTGCTTTGATCAGAATACGGATCAATGATGAGATATTGTGTACATGACAACGAACTTCTTCAGGTACCACAGAAAAAAAATAATTTCTTAAGTAGTTGAGAGACTATTAGCTTATCAAAAAAACATTTGTCTATTAAGTCTTAACACAGTAAGATGAGCTCGGCGGGAAGTCTAACACGCGTGGGAAAGATGAAAATTACAACATTTTAGTCGGAGATCAGTGCAGTGACTCTAAGTGTTAGACAATTCGAACTCTGAGGTGGTAAATTATATTCCCGCTCGAGGCATGGATATTTCATTACACTTTCTCAGCCAAGTTGCAAAAATGCTCCCATTAGCTTCGACATTTCTGGCTATCCGCACGTAACAATTTGAGAACACCTGAAAGGCTTTTAATCAAATTTGATAATGGGAAATTTTACTAAATTTTGTCGACATATTCTAGTTTTGGTTAATCTCAAATAATAAAGGATGCTTTACATGAAGACCTACATATGTTTCTATGCACATCCGGAGCGTAACTTGCTAAATATTTATCGGAGCGAAACACGTTTCCAACAAAAGCTGTAGAAAAACATGAAACAAACATTTTATGCTCGATACGTTTTTCCCATAAGTCTTGCGGTTTTCCGGATAATTATACAAATTTTTAAAATTTTATATACAAAAGGCATTTCTATGCTGTATCATTTCACAACTCGATAACCATCAAATTTCACATTGGATGCCCGTGCACTCCCGTTCCGTATCCTCTAATAATAAGCGAGCATAAAAAATTTAGAATTCAGGAATTGAAAATTTAGAAGTAGTAACAGCGCGAATGTTACACTATACGTACATTTCCTACATTGTAGAGTTGTGAAGCGATGAGTCGATTTTCCATCCGGATCCTACACAACATCCAACAGGTTAAATTAAATGTAAAACTCTACACGGTTAACTAATCGGTAGGGATCAATACCAGAACCATCTTCCAATGCAAATCGTGAGAGAATATCTGGCGGCTGTGCTGGCAGCACGGAGCTGCACTTTCAATATGCGCGATCACTGCGTCGGTTGCCGTGTTTCCTAGTCCTAGCGGCACAGTCGCCACATGTCCTCATTGTAAAATTAAATTGCGTTTAATTTCCCTGCTGCTCAAAAATGTTCTTTGCTCCAAGAAAACGTGTATGTTGGTAAATAAATTTCTTAAATTCAGTAAATGCTGGGAGCCGGGAAAACTCACACAGTACGGACTTAGAGTTTTACCTAGCACATAATTTATTTTTTCTCCCAGAAAGAAGCTGTTACTGTTGTATCATGTTTGTCTTCAGGGAAGGAGGGACACGAGAATGTTGTATAAGCTCACCCTAGCAGTACCTCTGCTGGGTCTTGCTGTAATCTCTTCATGGTTACTACAAAATGTGGAAGCTCATGGACGGCTTATTGAACCCCCATCTAGAGCCACTATGTGGAGGTAAGAGGAATTAAACATTACCTGGTGTTAGAATCTAGATCAACGCCATTTCTGGGTCCTACTCTGAGCTGGTTAGATCCAATATATATACAATTTATGACATTTTTTCAGATATGGTTTCAGTACGCCTCCAAATTATAATGACCATGAGCTGTACTGTGGAGGGTTCACGCGGCAGTGGCAAAGAAATGGAGGAAAATGTGGTATATGTGGAGATGCCTGGGACATGCCAGTGGTAAGTTCTTCACCCACAGAATCATTAGTTTTTCTATGGAAGAATTACTCATATTTCAAAACATTAAAAATCATATGAAATTGTACAACATTTAATGCCACGGTTGAACTGACTAGAGCCATACAATGGCAAAGAATTTATGGTGCACTCGCAATTTCAGCACCATTATGGGATAATGAAACATGAACAATAAAGATCACACATAAATTAATAATTAAATATCCTAAAATTAAATCCATGAGATGGACTGCAAATATTAATTGAATGACTATAAAAGCAACCATGACGTAACGGAGAAACTAAGAACTAAATAATATCGACGAAAAGCAGAAGCAAATAGATGCATTTACATTTACATAACACTGGAATCATGTCTAATCAGCATTCCAGAAAACAGTGTTCCGTAAGCAGATGTAACCTTCCAATACTGAATACAATGGCAAAGAAAAGTTCGTTGTGATGCCACTGAATGTTTATATGTAACCGTTTTCCTACTACGGCATTGAGATATGCTAAACACTTTCACATCTGAAGCTACAAATCCATTGTGTCGAAGCAACGCAGTGATTGAGTCATGACAGACGGTTAGAACTCTAGTATCTTATACAAACAATAAGGATGGAACAGGAAATTTATTTGACAAACACATCAACTATGAGCCGGAGTAGCTCAGTCAGTATAGTGATTGGCTACGGACTGGATGACTGGGGTTCGATCCCCGACGGGGGCAGAGGATTTTTCCTCTAGCCTCTGCGTCCAGACCGGTTCTGGGGCCCACCCAGCCTCCTTTCCAATGGATACCGGGGTCCTTTCCCGGGGACAAAGCACAAATAATAGGGCTCAATTTACCTTTGTATTTTCTTTCCGACAGCCTCGACCACATGAAGCGGGTGGTAAATATGCTCAGGGTATAACTGTACGACGTTACAAAAAAGATTCGACCGTCACGATTAGAGTTGAACTCACAGCAAATCACCGTGGTTACTTTGAGTTTAGACTTTGTCCCAACAATGCACCGAAACATGCTGGAACACAAGCTTGTCTTGACAAGTACGTTCTGAGGCGAGCGAAATTTACTGGGGTATCAGATGAGCAGAATCATGAGACTCGATATTATCCTGCTACAGGAAACAAGGTATGTAATAAGTCTATGTTTGAGGTATACACATATATTGCAAGTTTCCAATGCTCTTATGATGGAAAGTACCACACTTTATTTTACCATTAATGTTTCAGGTGTTTGAGACACGTTACCTTTTACCACCTGGCCTAACCTGTACTCAGTGCATCTTGCAATGGAGATATATTGCTGGCAACAATTGGGGAACTTGTGAAAATGGCACCGGAGCCGTAGGCTGTGGTCCTCAGGAGGAATTTCGAGCATGTGCCGATGTTGAAATAGTCGACTCTTCCGGCTCAGCCGATGAGACACCATTCTACAATGAGATCCCGACACAGGAAGAAAACAAGAACAAGGAAGAGACATCAACACCTGCAGGAGAGATGCCTGTGCCTGTATCAACAACAGGCTGGTGGCTGATAATAATGACTGTAGCTTGTGCACTCGTAGCAGCAGCCACAACATTGGCACTGTTATACTTGTATTATTATCATGCTAGTGACACAGTCAAACGCTGGCTTGGGAGTGAACGATTTCAGAAACAAGCACTTCAAAAACAGCAGCCAGTACCTCCACCAAGGCTAAAGAAACAGCAAAGCAGCAATATCAATCCAGATGTTTAAAAACAAAAGACTCTAGGAGGGAGCTCTTTATCTCTGATCACAGAAATTTTGTGATCAGCAAGTACTCCATTTTTAGTGGTAAGGTATAGTTGATGGCAAACTCAGACCACACACAATTATAATTTTAGACAATATCCTGGTTTTCTATGTAGGTCTTCTGAGTTGTGAAACTGTGTAGACTTACAGGCAGATACCGACATTTCAGAGGAGCATACTGTCCTGAAAATATGGGATGTTACTCTCAAATGTTAGTATCTATCTCACGAGTCCAAGTGGCATGATAACACTGAAGACCTACAACAACATCTACACTGTCATGAGAAACTCAAATCACATACTGGTGTTCTGTTCAAAAAAACCAGCATCTGTGTGTTCTTGATGTATATGCCTGTTAAGAAAGCAGCCACACTTATGGAGTCATATTCTGAGAACTGTGCAGTCATTAAAATACCAGTATGACATATATCTGAAATCCATAATGATAAAATGCTTTAGAACTGGTAATTTCAAATAACACTACCAATATAAGTAGTATATGAAATACTATACTAAGGTTTAGTTTGTACATTTCAAAATTGTTTTCAAAAATGATAAATGAAATTAATGTATTTTAATTTTCAATGAAAATGTGTTTCAATATGACTTTTATGAAGAAGTCTGTGTACATCAAATAGCTTTTATCTCTAACATATATAAATTATTGTGTTCAAAATATTCCAGCTTGAAGTACTTATTTTATTCCATTAAACTTACACTCCACAATTTATGATTGCTTATTTCTATTTTTGCATACAATCCATTTCAACAAAAATTTCCTTTCCTTTCTTCAAAAATCTCCGAACATTACCTCTAAAACATTTCATGGTGACTAAATTCCCTGAAGTCTTCACAGGCAATCAGCCATGTCAGGTGGTCATAACAAATCACCAAGTGTAGCTGACTGCCTGTGAAGACTTCATGGAGTACCCCTAAAACTTCTAAATTCTTAACGGCTTCTCACTTTTTTGACATGTTCATATCCTTAGTTGGCAACCTTTAAGAAAACTTATCAGTTCACATTCACAATGAGAAGTTTCAAATGTGGCACAAAGTTTAGCATGTGATATTATAGTTAGATCACAATTGGCAGACGTCTCAAAAAAATATGGTACTTATAGAGATTGTGTACATAACAAACACAAAATAAAAATAAATCTCACTAATTATCAATATTTTTTGATTTGTAGGAGTTTCAAATGGTTTAGGTTTTCACTAATTTAACTATCGTGTAAATGTTATCATTGATGTATTTCTACAATATATACTAAAGAAATTAAACTACAATTCTAACACAAGTACATAAATATAAGACAATGATAGTAAATAAGAAATAATGTGTAACATGCAAATATTTTAGTACTGTACGTGAAATAACCAATTTTATACAGTAAATATTAGGTATGTACATGCCTATATATGAAAATATTTAATACACTAAATAAATGGTTTCATCTGATCTGCAAATTGACAGGTTAGAATCTGGTGCAAATGGCACTGGCAATTTAATTAACTTATAATTCCTTGTTATCAATAATTCCAAATCTAATTTACATCACCAAATCTCCTTTAATTTGGAGCACGTAGGGGACACAATATTCAGTAAGAGTAATAATATCTAACGTCACAACCTCCATATCTACTAGCGGTGCCAGTTACTGTAACTGTATTTATTCAGTACAGGTAAAAAGGTCTGTGCCCAAACACTACAACGTAAATGTGCATACTGGGCCATGGAAACAAAACCCCAGTAATGAAAGAGCTCCTGGTACCCACAGGACAGGCAGGTGAGTAGATCAAACAACTGTTCTAGACATGGCTGTGAAATTACTGACAAGTCACTTGGGAAGAAAAGACACCCGAATTGCTGTGTACTTTTTGATAAGGGAGAGATCTGTTCAAAAAATAACACTGCAATGCAGTATACTGAATTCGTATCTCACTTCTTAGTTCCAAGCAGCATCTGTCGAAAATCTGAATTGCTCATTTGTTTCTGTGTATCTCCAGCACCATCTCCATTCGTTGCACTGTTGCTATTACTTCCATTACTAGTGGCAGTATTACTGAAAGGTATAGCAGTAGATGATGGTGTTGTGGCTGCTGTATTTTGAGATATTTGCAATGATCTTGGAAGTAGCGACATCTGTGTTCGACCACGTCCACGTCTGTAGAAAGCAGAAGTATTATGAAGTGACATCACCACCATCCCAGTTGGCTTGTTATGGGTATTACAAAATAGAATCTGATCAACATTTACAGGTCCTCCCAACCACCTTCTTAATCTCGACTGATTGTCTGTAAGATACATATGGTTAATCTGGCTTAGGTAGAACACCATTATGAGAATAAACAGGTACATTACTGCCTAATGGGGGATGAAGAAAAGCTCTTTATCACCATATTTCTTGTAATATATATCAGGAGTCAGATGCTAGAACTGGTGTTTCCTCAAACTGTCAAACTGTGCGCTGAGGCTTACTAGCATTTTGCCTCAGACTTCTACTTGCATTCTAGCTATAACAGATAGCTTATACAGTATAGAAATTGTGTTCAGTACCCTCTCCAAACCAAATACCATCCTTATCCCACTTCATGTTGTATGTATGGCCTGAGACATGTAACACAAGCATGTCTCATACTTTAATGCCAACCTCGCCTTCATTTAGTCCACCTTGTTTCCAAAAACACAGTTCTGTTGCCTGTGTCATGACAGAATGACCAGAACATTAAATCTACAGTTGAAGAAATGCCACTATAAAAACTCCAGAAAACAAAGGCATGGCAGTATCACAATAATGGCTTGTGTGCATGGAATCCCATTACAATAATATAGGTTACATTTGTTAAATTAATTTCTCTTTTACAAGTTTTGGTATTATTTATTTGATGGGTTGAGTATCAAATAACTAATGCAGATGATTCAACTTCAAACTCAATAATTAAATCAATCTTCTCACAATTTACCCCATTTAAGCAGATGAACTTCTGGTAAAGGCAGAGTAGCTGTTACAAAAGGGCTGAAGAAAACGCTAACTCCATAGGCTCTATATACAATCTAAGATAACTATATTATTCTATTTTCCACACAGTGAATAACAACAAACTGGCAGGACTTCCTATGACATTCAAGGTGTAACATGAACACAGCAAATATGATATTAATGACACAAATATTTGTTTCTTTAGTAGTATACAAACTACAAATTTGTTTCTTTGTATGTAATGTCTTCATGTATAGTCTACACAGGCATCCCAGGCCTCTGCCTACTTAAGCAAAGGCTTAAAATCAATTTTTAAGGTTGCAGCAATCCATAGGACAGATCTGTTATTCCCTGGGTGGTCATGAAAAAGATGGTATAGATTATTTATTTATTATTAACTGCAAATGGGTTTATACCCAGTGGCAGTGGTGCTACAATAAGACACAACAAAACAATAAAACACAACAAAACAATGAGACACAACAAAACAATAAGACACAACAAAACAATGAGACACGACAAAACAACACACATCACACAAAATAACACACCACACTCAAAATAAAACAACTCATATGATTACAAAACCATAAGGCACAAGTACTTAAACACAACAGATAACCTAAAGTAGATAACTTAAAAATTAATACCAACTAGACATAAGACAGTAATAGTAATCTGGACAGAGTAATAAAACTATTAATAACAAAATTATAACGTGGACATTAAAAACTTGAGATGAGAATGCACTGAGATGTTTTGAGAGAAAAATCTTACGGAGAATATTTGGACCAGTCCAAGATACAAATGGCTGGAGAAGAAGATATAACCAGGAGCTTGACAGATTGATAGAGGGTCAGGACATAGTGAGATTCATCAAGGCACAGAGATTAAGGTGGCTGGGCCACGTAGAATGAATGCCAGAAACGCAGATGCCAAAAAGAATGCTGAAAGGAAGACTTGATAACAGAAGAAGAAGGGAACGTCCTAGGATGAGGTGGATAGAAGATGTGACTGCGGACCTGACGACAATGGGAATTAGAGGATGGAGGACAAAAGCAGCGGATAGAGAAGTCTGGAGGACAGTTGTCAATGAGGCCAAAACTCACCAAGGGTTGTAGAGCCAGTGAAGAAGAAGAACAAAATCATAAACAACTCTAATTAGAGACAAGAAAAAATCAGATCTTTTATCTACATGCAGAGCCCAAGAACCTATTAGATATTTTCCTCCCTAGAAAATTATTATATAAACAACTATGATTTGATTGCTGTTCTAAACAAGTATTATTTGAAAAGTTGGACAAAAATGAACAATACTTACGAGCCAGTACTTTTAGGACCTCCTCCTAACGACTTGACAGAGAGTGACTGTGTAGTATCAGATGGCTTCAGCTTTCTCTCGGGTGGCTTACTGATGGCCACACTGATAGTTCTGTCTCCTATCTTCATTCCATCTGTTTTTATTAATGCATGTGCAGCAGCTGCCTAGAAATTCATCATGTTTTTAGCAATAAACACATGTTTTAAACTACAGGACCTATGAAGAGTGAGACATATGATCCGAAAAAAAAAGAAGTATGACACGAGTGTGAATAAATGTGCTTTCACATCCTGGATGGACTGTGGAAATTCAAGAAAACCTCAGCTGAGACAAATTACAGATATAAACCAATTTTCACCCAAATATATTTGGGTGAGAAAGCAAGGGTGTGTATATACCAAGACATTCAGTAAGAAAAGCATATGTAAAGAAACAATTATTAATTAAGATGTGGATAAAATATAATAAAACTGCAAACCTCATCACGGAATTCGACATATGCCAATCCTTTTGAATGTCCATTCCGAAAAGTGACAACTCGAACATCCTTCAGTGAACCATATGACTTAAACACTCCCTCAAGTTCTTCCTTTGTCATAGTAAGAGGCAAACCTGAATAGAAATATGTGTGTTACTTCTTCTTTAAATTAGAACAACAAAAATTCAAGCATTAACACAATTCATAGAGAATGACAAAGCAGAAATCACTAGCGCCAGTAAACTAATACACAGCAGACACAATTTACACACAGACAACAAACTAAGCATTTCACCTTTCACAAAAAGTTTGTTCTTCTCCAGTGTTGTGTTGTATTTAAAACCACGCTGCCTTGTATCTTTATCTGACTCACACCTCGAAACAAACATTGGTCGTCCATCAATGCATTCACGATCTTTTTTCAAAGCTGCGTGTGCTTCACTCTAAAACAGATATAATATATACATAAGCTTTAATTGTACCTATCAATGTAAATACCAATATGGTGAAAATGATGAAGTACTTACAGATGAAGAGAATTCAACATAGCAGTAACCCTTAGACCGACCCTTAAAATCCTTCACCAAACGAAGGTCTGTGAGAGTTCCCAAAGAAGAGAAGAACTCCTTTATTGTAGCTTCATCCACAGAATAATCCAAATTACTGACAAACACAGTATGGTTATCTTTGGAGGAATCATGTGCTACTGAAACTCCATGTTCTGATTCCACATTGTCTGCTGTAAAATCAGATCAAAGATCAACTCATTTAACAAGCATGAAGATAACTGTCTTCTGGATTGTTGTGCCACATAGTCTGGTAGAAGTTTACTGACATTTTGCAGGCGTATCATCTGGGCAATGAATGTTGTCCTGATGATGGAGGCAGCAAGCACCTCTGAAACACTGGTAAACTTCTACTAGACTACAGAGTACTACAACCCAGATGACTACAATAACATTAAACAGTGTGAAAAGCTACTGGAAAAACATTAAAATACAACATTAGCTAGTTTAATAAATATGTTAACATGTGTATGTTTATTTCAGACAAATATTGGGGGTTACAGGCATCAAATTGATACAAAAAAGGTACAGTAAATATGTGTCCTAAAATGGCTCCTGAAAGTTTCAGAGGGTAATACATCCATATTCCTACACACTTCATTTCCAACACTACAGAATAAACAGGAAAGAATATTTTAATAAATGAGCTCTGATAAGAATACCCACCAAAAGATATTATTAAATATCAATCCAATGAAGAAGGTACTTAGGAAGACATTTAAAATAATGGGAAGCTCCTGTGTTTTCACACTGTATTGTTACAGTAGGGGTGAACTATATCTCCATGATAAAACCTGTTGCAGTGCCACTTTGACCACCACAAACCCCACTGCACTGACCTGGGCAAAACCCATGGTGACAGGCTGGCAACTAACCACTTCAGCTATAGCATAGCCCACTGTAATATAATAACAGGCCGACTAGGTCAATACTTGGAAGGATGATGATCTATATGAAGAAGGAAAAAGGTACAGAACAAGTGATAACAGGAACAGATGACAAGGAAGTAACATCAAGCATATATCCAACACTGTGCTTTCAGATTCATGGCAGTACTTGTTCTCGTACATGGACAAAACAGAACATCACATTACACGACAACCAAATTTTACATTCCTAGATAGCAGGGTTCAATAGTTATCACAATAAAATCCAATCCTAAATGCACACTTTGCATGGTTGTTACAATATATATTCTTCAGGAAAAAAATTACCTGAATGAAGAGTTGCAAATTTTATTAATCTATTATCACATAAAACTTCAGCGTTCTAATTTATATGGTATTAGTGCCACTCCTGACTCAAAGTTCTAGCACAGTCACACTCGACACCATGTTCATATGAAGATTCAATAAGTCTGTCCATTGATTCAAAAGTTACTGGAGAGACAGACAACTAAAAATGAACATGTGCACGTAAATGCCCGCACATGCAGACACAAACACAAAACAGACATGGTGGTGCTACAAGCAAATAGTTTTTTATTACAGAGAGTATGTTAAAAGTGTGAATGACATACATTTAAATTTTTTGGTAGGTGGTTCTTCAGAAACATCATCAGTTATCTCCTGCTTTTCATAACCTGGTGGAGGTGCAACTGCTTGACTCTCTTTTGAAACACTGGACTCTGTTTCAGCAATATCCTTTAAACTAGATTTTCTGACTACAGACTTTGGTGCTACTGCTGCCCATTTGCCTTCTGTTTCATGCTACAAAAGAAACAAATGTATAAATGTGTGGGTTGATAACGATTATAATTTCGGTTCTAATTCATGTTTTATCTGGCTTACATTTGTGACCATACAGCAGACCTCAACAACTCCCCAGAATCAAGTTTCATGAAAATCTGTTCAGCTGTCCTTGAGTTGTTTCATGCAGCCACACATGGCAGAACTAAAAAATGCATTTTTTCAACTTTCAGTTACAAACATGCCTAAAAAAGATTTCAATTTAATTATTTTTGAATATTACACAAGAAAGACTGTTTAAAATTATACACTAACAATGATAAATAAGAATACGGTGATGGTTTACAGATTGTCATGAAATGTGATACTAATTTATAATTATAGCACAAACACAGTATTATATTTTTGACCATATTTAGCAATCATGGATCCTACTTAAGCAAATATGTTTATATTTTGTTCATCATTAATATGTAATAGACATATAAAATCATGCATTCAAACAAAACTGTTTACACTTGAAAAGACACTTAGTACCAAACGTGTTTCGACCTCAAGAGGTCATCATCAGTGGCAAACAAATTAACATATATTAAATCATACAAATCATAAGGTGATGGCTTGTTAAAAAGTATAAAAGGTTGCACTTTACAAAACCATAATTATGTAATACCACACTGGATGTTAATTGCACAAGAGTTGGTGTATTATCTAAATTGAGTATTCAGCTTTTATGTTCACTGTCATGATTTTATATAACAATACACTGCATGGCATGCAGGTTTTCAAGATATAAAATCAAGATTATGATAAAACAATAGCTATGACATGAATTCATAAGTCATATCATATAAAGTGAGGTTAGTAAATACTCCTACTAACTCTATCAAGTACATTACATTAATTATAATGCTATGTGCTTCAAACAAAATCAGAAAAACACAATTAGGTAAATATTTTATGCTGCACATACATATGTATTGATAAGGTAACCAATTTTTGAGAAAATGGCTGTCACTGTCTAGAATGGGCTTGCTTAGAAGACTCGTAGATTCTCTATAGATGATATGTGCTCATGGCATAGGTATACTTTCTCACACTTATTGAAAAAAATAATTACAATTTTTAAGTTTGGTTTAAAGTTCAAAGATCTAATGCAAGATTCCAAGTCTGAGTTGAACAGTTTTCAGCATTCACAAATCCCTAAAAACAAACACAACAGAGACCGATCACAAAATTACAAGCCTTCTTTTTACAGGCAGTTACATACTGTACCTTCTTTTTCCAAGCATCCCTGGGATTCTGTTTCTTGCCTCTATCCTGTTTTTGGTGTTTCCACTTCTCTCCCTTTTCAGTTACTTCTGCTTCTTTTGCAGCTGTTCTTTCCCTCTGGGCATTTATCTGTTTCATTCTGGTGGACAAAGTGACAGTAATAATACCAGCAAACAATAATGGTCAATGAATGAATAACAGCCGACTGGGACTGATAGTGCTGCTGTCTGTTCACGTCTGCTTGCACAGTCTACCAAGGAGACTTGAGGAAAGAGAAAGCTATCTTGTATACAGTCTCATGAACAAAACACCAGGTGATGGACTGATAACATTTAAAAGACTGTGTGTGTACAACATTCTTACACTCAAGTGTCAAGTATTCATACCAATACTTTTACTGAAGATGCTGAGTAACAGAAATGCTATACACATTTTATGCCTCTTCATCTGTAGTAGTATGAATTTATCATCATTACAGCTGTACTCAACATATAAGCAATTAACACAGCCGATAAGCTTCCCTTTTCTCCTGTGATCAACAGAACATTGGTCAGTTATGGTAAGAGTGATAACAGAAACAAAAATATTCAAGTTGTCATCATGGTGATGGTGGCGATTATAATAATCATAATTATGACAGCTAAACAGACAGCATAAGCTTAAGGACCACAAGTGGTGTATAAAATACGTATTTATTAAGCAGAGGAATGGGATGAAAATACATGTTGCTCATTACTGCAAGAAGAAAGTTATTTTTTTAAACAGCATAAGTAATTAAAATCTCATAAAAATTTAAAATCTAGGTTCTAAGTCAACATTTGTGTGATTGCACACATTATTAATACCGCAATAATTGAAAGACAAACTGAAAGAGAGAAAAAAAATTCCAGCCCAGACTGTCACTATAAATCTGTACATAAGAGGAATGTTTTCAAATTCATATTCAAAGAGCAAAAACAAACTACAAAAACAAAAACATGTGTTCTATCATGAATAACCAGCAGTTAGTTCTATATGAAATATAAGTCAAGCTTCATTTTACTGGCTTGTATATGTACCTTGATTTGTATTTTGTCATACAAAATTCATATGAATCCAATGTGCCTTCATCTCTTTCAAAATTGAGCCATGCAATCCCAATGCTCTCTGGCCAGTCCTGGGTACACGTAAGGGCACGTGGAAACAAACGCTTCAAGTGTTTGCTGTCACCAAATGCCCTAAAAGTTAAAGATTCAAGGGATAATGTTATTATCATAAGTTGCTATCACAGTTACAGTAATGAGCAATATTAACTACAAATTATCGCTGATCTATTAACTAGAAAAGAAATAACAACACTTACACAAACATGAACAAATTAAACTAAAATAAACAGCCCATTTGAAAACTGTTATGGAAATATAAATAATAGTATACTATTCACAGAAAATTCCATTTCTTCATCATCACTTATGCTAGGTAAATCTGTTATATTGTATGAGATTTGAGGTTCTCGTGGCAATGAAGATGTTGATGTTATTACATAAATTAAACAAAAATGCTTAGACTTCAATACAAAGCTTGAAGTAAAGTCTCTGTAAAGTTTTTCACATTTTTACAGTTAGATAAATACAATACAGTTTTGTTTGACATATTTTAGATCCAGAAAATCCAAAGCATATACAATCTCTAACTACACTCACAAAACAGCCAAAAATAACAGGATGTAATGGATGTCTTAAAATAAAGCAAATGTAACTTTACATTCATATCAGCTAAAGTAAAGTTACAGAACCAATGCTGTGTGCATACTCTGTTTGGTCCAATTCCATTTATGTGGAAATGCACATGCAACTCAAGGGATTTCCAAAACTTTGCCTAACAGACTAAACTAAAAGGTTTTCAAAATTTTGTGTAATAGATGACCACAGTCAATTTTCACAAACCTCTCCAACTGAATGTACTCAAGCCACATGGCTGCTGTCTTGTCATGTCCCTGACTGAGAATGTCATTCCATAAAAGCCGGAATTTCTCCAGGTTCTTACAATATACAGCTTCAATGCGAGCCCAGTAACGTAAAATGTCACAGCTAGGATCACCTTGAAGCCCATAATCTGCAACAATGAAGAACAAAAAATGTGACAAATTGGCATTGTCAGAATAAATGCATGGTTCAACATACACCTGCTTTATGACTTCTCTCTCACAACATGGGATGGAACTCTCAGAGATTACATGAGCCAGATCATTTATAAAAACAACTGGTTCATTCCACTCTTCCAAGTTCATGCATAAGTTGGTCTGAATGCAGGAGCTAGAGGAACAATCCTATGCCCCTATCAGGGATAGAAACCCGGTTGTCCAGTCCATAGTTAGTCACTGTACTAATTGAGCTACCCTGGCCAACTCCTGTCTGTACATGATGTTATAATATAAGCCCATTACTCACACTGTGCAAGATGGTCACAAGCCCTATTGAACACTCCTCTCAGTTCTGCCAGCTCTGTCGACTGGGGTTCTGTATTCCAGTCTACTCTTCGTCTCATATAGTCAATATAACCCAACCACAAGTCGCGATAATCTTCAGCAGTACTGAACCCTACTGACAATGCTTGCTCCATTACATCTGAAATGTAAGATTAAAATTTTATTGGAAAGTGAATAATGCAAGATACACGAGAAGATGTGAGGTTCTCACAGTGACGAGTATAACAATGGCTGTCCTCTGGGATGTTGCACCATGCATTCTGGTACGTACAGACTGACATTTCAGAAGAGATTACTGCCTCCATCATCAGGGCAATTATCAGAGCCCAGAATACACAGTGCAACCTCCACAAGACAGCCATCTTCAATGTAATAACAGCCACACAGAAAATTAGTGTGTAAGCCACAATCTGTTTAGAAAGTGTGACACTTAAAATACCTCTGACAGAGAATCAAACAACTTATTACTAATGGAGTATGCCTGGACTGTGATGGCCACAGCAAAGATCATTACAAGTCACTGTTAGTTGATAACATAAAATGAAAAGGATGATCTACAGTCAAAACAATATTAAATTAAATGAGTATATAAGAAATACCTTTAACCTCATCAAACGGCTTTTTATATCTCTCAAGAGCTGTCAGATAATGCTGCCACAATGGAGAACTCCAAGGACAATTGCGAACTGCCCGTTTGCAAACAGGTAAAACAACAGTGTCTATCTTGAGTGTGGTATCCAAATATTCAATGTACTCAAGCCACACTGAAGCATCAAGGCAAAGCTCAGCAACAGCTCGTTCGTACAGACACTGAACTCGAGCTGGATCCTCCCCAGACATTTCATACTGGAGGTAAGTTCGATAATGATCAGCTCTGCTGGCATCATCACAGCTCAGCTGAAATGTTGAATAAGTCAGAATGAGGCATCAGATCTGAACAAAATCATACCTACAGCTGAGTTTACATTATTAATGGAAGTACACAAACTTCACAACTCCATGAAAAGGTTGTATGATATTCTAATTTGTAACAAGCAAGTTCTTGAGTTGGCAGTGCAAGCATTTGCTCCTATAAATTTATGGACTTGGGGCTGAAAGGGTTAATCGCTAGCTCTGTATTTCAAACATCTTAAGTACATTCATCTGTGTCAGTACATGTATATACTATTACCAAATTTTCCTCATAAGAAAGGATCTTGCTCAGTTTCTGGAGTGCTTTCTTGAAACCAGATTCAACATTCTTTATGTCTACTTCATCTCTTCTGCTTGGCTCTTCATTCAGCCACTCAGTGAACTCCTGGTACGTGTCCTCCATGTCAAGCAGTGGACAAGCCAACTGGCGACGAAAAATGGTAACCAAGCGTTTCTTCTGAGTAGCTAATTCCTGTTGCTGACTCTCACTTAAGACAGTGTTATCAGCTTTGGACTGTAAGAAAGTTTATAACATTTATATCAAATCAGCAAAATATGTAATCACAATAAAATAAAACAAGTTGTGGGAGAAGCTTATAACAACTACTGCTATAAGATCAGAAGTTAAGACAGTCTAGTGTTGCTCCCACCTTGCAAGATTGTATGTCTTCTACATCACCATTACTGAGGTAGAAAATTAAAATGTACAAAGGTAGATTAGCTTCTAGCATCATGATGTTTATACCAAGTTGCATGAAAATATGCTTAATGGTTAAAAAGTTATTAGAGATACTGACAGAGCCACAAGAACATACCAGAAAGATGTCTTTATTTTAAAATAAAGAAAACAGACTTAAAATAAAAAAGGAAAACTGCACTTCATCTATTATTGTTGTTACTATTACTATTACTACAGACTTTCATAATTAGAATTTATCATTCTATCAATCACAAGCATCAATAATAATATTAATGTTAGATTGGGTGTTACACACTTACACTTAGAAACTAACTAAATAAAAGATCCAATATTGCTTTATATATTACCTGTAACATTCCCAGGATTACATTCTCAAACTCACGATATGCCTCCCACAGAATAGCTCCCTTAGCAACATGAAGACCAACTGCTGTAAGAGCACGTTCAAATGTATTTCTAACTGTCTGAACCCCAGCCTGTAGTCCCACGTTTCCAATACTGAACTGAGCATACTCCAACCAGAGATCAACAGCTGAAAATCAGAAAAATTATTTTATTTATGATGATGATAATGACATCAGCAAAAAAATTTAAACTGGACTTTCAATTACCTACAAGATCTTATATATGCTTTCATCATGTAAGGCAAAGTCACAACAAGGACTTCCCAAATAAAAGTCAGGCATGTTAAACTTCTCAAGAAGAAAACAAATTCTTCATTCATTGTAAGATTTGAGGTTTTCACAGTGGTGAGTATGAAGATTTCTGTCTTCTGGGTTGTTGTATATACATATTCATCGCCCTGATGACGGAGGCAGTATGACCTCTGAAATGTTGGTCAATATCAACCAGACGACACAGCACAACAACCCAGAAGACAGAAATCCTCTTCATTCTTTGTTTCTCTGTGAAATAACAGAATCAAACATCCAATCAAGCACTTTGACAAGATGTTTAGTGGAATAGATTGCATTTGAAACAAACAATAATGACAAATGGATATATTTATATTCCAGAGATAAATCAACCAGTTAATTATATTGTTATACACTGAACAAATATAATTTTAATATGCTTGTAAGTTCTCAATCAGAACTGTGTAAGAACAATTTCTGATCACAGACACTCTCTCAAACAAGGTATGACATCATTCAAAAATAATTGTAATCGCATGTTCAGTAAACAGAAATACCCTAAATTATCTTGATACAGTGATATCAAAAAAAGGAATTATTAAACTCATGTGACAAAAATACAGAGTAATATAAAATTTGTTTACAAAGATAGTCCTGAACAGCCCTCTCGAACAGCTCAATGACAGCACTACGTTCCACATCTGAAGCTGCTAGGCTAATCTCATCTTGCAGCCAAGAGATCCACAATTCTGAAACACACGTGTTTTATGCCATAACTTGCATCAGACAACCTATTATAAGGAGATTTAAAAAGTTGCAAGGGGAGATAAAGAATCAACCACTCCCTTGCCACCACCATGAATATCTTAAATGCTACTTCAAAATTAATTAATATTGTTACTGGAACAGCAAATTTGCCCACATGAAAATGCACTAGCTTACAAAACCTGGTACCTCATCCTGACATCTCAGTAAGTATGGCTGCTGTCATTCTAGTGAATACATCATTATGTTTACTTTTTGAGTTTCCTGACATCCAATTAAAAAGGGGAAAAAGTAACATTAAACTGCCAAACAAAAGAAAAACATCACTAATACAAAGTTCAGAAAAGTCAGTCAGTAAGAATCTCTTCCCTAACGCAACTTCCATAACAATCACCACATGATTTTAAATAATATGATAGATGAGATTACTTTCATCACTGAATGTCATTAACTTCTTTATTAACAAGAAAATAAAACAGTCCAACCATGTTTTTAAACCAAATCAGCAGCCTGTACATAAAACCTAACCTTTTGTAAATCATTCGGATGCTTAATATAAATGAATAGACAATAAAATAAGTGAAATATAATCAACCATTACCTGGAGTCAATGGAAAATGTCTGCTCATCTTCTCTCTTGCTCTACGAAGTCTTTCTATCTCAGCCATCTTTTGGAGAAGTTTTATAAGCTCCACATATGAATTATAATCATATGGATTCTCTTCAACCTATAAAAGTATCATGTATCAACAAGTTCAAAACATGATAAAATTCTTTGAACATATTCATTCCAAGTAGGATTTAAGGCTCTCACAGGGGTAAGTATGATGTTGGCTGTTTTCTGGATTGTACTGCAATGTAAACTAGTAGAAATTTTTATAAAACTGTTACAAAGTTTCAATAAATTGAAATGTAAAACTTGGTGGCCTGTTAGCTAACAAGAAAAGGTGAATATGGCCCCGGGTCTTATGTTGAGAAATTCTACATTAGAATATATGTGTAGGGGAACTTCTATCTTTTCCTTATGTGGAAGACAATCAACAATGCATTTCAATTTCTATATCTATATAATCTATTCTTCAATTTCTTATTTATTTTCTCAAGTTTGGATAACTGTCATTTCATATCTAATTCTTGTCCTTAGGTTTTCACAGAGAGTAAAATGCATAACTTCAGTTTTCACATATGACCCATGTCCAGTGACGAAGGTGTTCCACCTTGGCAAACACTACACTAGATGTCAAGAAAGTCTAGGATCAGGAGAATGGTGTGGGATGTGAATGATGTTACCAGGCAAGCAATAAAGTGAGATGCTATACAATAAAAAATGGCATATCGTCACAAATGGCCCGCACACACGCTCACCCTGAAGATGGCAACTGCAATATTTGCCGAAACGTCAAAACAGCTTCAATACTAGACGCACCTTAACCTCGAAACTTATAGGCCTACACGAAGCCTGCTATCAGTATGTATGGTCGAGAGAAAGGGTCAATGAAATAACAATACTTGGACAAATTGACTTAAGTTTGGTTTGGTAGTTTTAGGTTAGGGTATGCGGTACTGTCTTCACATCACCTTTTTTTCAAAGCCTACAGCCTGTTTTTCAAGCTCCTCGTCATTGTCTGACATGTCATCTGAAGATTCACCTTCGCTATCGCTTGATTTATACGAAGCTTTGTCTTTATCTGAAACGTTGTCAATTTCCATTTTTTCACTTTCTTCAGCCGACATCTTTCAATAGGCGATATTCAGTTTACACGTCCAGAGATAAAACAGAAGTGACTTTATATACGGATGTAACAAAGAAGCTGCTATATATTTTGAATGAATGTTTCTTCTGTGATATCAACAAATATAACCTAACATCTTTCTGAAAGATCTTGCTCGTAGTGACTTATCTGTGGTAATTACCATATGTGGTTGTGACACTTGTAAGATGGGTTTGTGTAAAGTGTTTTCAGCACTGATATTTCTATTAATTGTTTGTGTATGTACCAGTAACTCCGTTTCAATAAGCAGAAAATTACAAAATGAAGATTTTTTATATCCTTCGCGGTATAATAACTATGAAGAGATGACGAATTTGTTCAGAGACTTGAACTCAACATACCCACATTTGGCAAAATTACACTCTATTGGCAAATCTGTACAGAACAGGGACCTGTGGGTTTTAGAAATCAGTGGAAACGTCCACCAACGTAGTTTAGGCGAGCCAATGTTCAAGTATGTAGCAAATATGCATGGAGATGAAACAGTTGGTCGAGAATTAATGATATTTCTGGCCCAATATCTGCTGAAAAATTATGGTTCAGATGCTAGGGTGACTCACCTTGTAAACACAACTGACATATTTCTTATGCCGTCTCTAAATCCAGATGGGTACGAGGCATCGCAGGTAAGAACAGTGTACGAATAAATGAACAGTTATTCACTAGTTGTTCTTGAGCAGTAAGTTATCCTGCACCAAATACTGTTGAAAAAAAATTTCCAATGTCTGACAAAGTTGTTGGTGCATATTACAATATTTTTTGTATACAGGAAGGATTATGTGATTCTAAATCAAGATTTGAAGGAAGGTTGAATGCCAATGGTGCTGACTTAAACAGAGACTTTCCAGACCAGTTTGATACAAAGGAAACAAGTGGAAATATTCTTGATGGGCGTCAGAATGAGACAGTTGCTGTTATGACATGGATTGTGTCTAATCCATTCGTTTTGTCAGGAAATCTTCATGGAGGAGCAGTTGTTGCTAGTTATCCTTTTGATGATTCAGGGTAGGTTTTTAAGAGACTGTACCAGTGATTATAGGAATATAAATAAATTCTCCATGTAATACATTCCCCATCTCATTATCAATCATATAATTCTGGTGATATATGTTGAATTATCACCTATTACTGCAAGGCAGATGTCTTTGCAGCAAACTGTCTTTGTAGGATTTAAGGTTTTCACAGCAGTGAGTCTGAAGGTGGCTCTCTTCTGGGTTGTTGCGCCATGTAGTCTGGTAGAAGTTTATCAACGATGGTGGAGGCAGCAAGGACCTCTGAAATGTTGGTAAACTTCTACCAGACTACACAGCGCAACAACCCAGAAGACAGCCATCTTTATGTTTTTTACATTGTAGTAGCCCTTAGAAAGGTAATTTTGTTCATGTGTAGAAAATACTTTATATTGTACAATTAATGCTTTCCAGAGGTTTGTTTGTTTTTTACTTTGCATATATATTTGTTCTGCTGTGTATGTAATAATGTAAGAGAATTTAAACACCATGTACAGTTTAGGGCACTCCTAGCTACATTTCATTCTAAGTATACAAGTGTGTAGAATTTTAGAGGAGGAAATCAGTTATTTCCTAAGTGGTGCCAGTTATAATCACAACAGCAAAACAGGCTGAGAATTTCTGCAGTAAAATATATGTACAGTAGTTGTACAATCTTATGTATTGCATTTTTTATATTAGCTGACATTGTTTTGGAATAATTTGAACAGGTAAGTGTTCCTTCATCATCATCATCTCCTATCAAGGATTGGGCCCTTGGCCCATTCCAGACACTTGCTTAAGTCAGCTTTCTTATTAGTCTTCTTTTTTAGTCCCTTAGAGTAGCAGGTGACAAGCTTGCTGCCTCCAAACATTTTGTACTCATTCCTGATTTGTCTGCTACAAAACATCTCGTTCATGCTTGTAAGGTTCTTTTACATGCTGTAAATATAGGACATGGAACCGCTAGCTTTACTTCCCCTCCAAAGGAAGTTGTGCTACAGATTTTTATCGTCCTTAAAAATCCATCGACATCACCCGGGTTTGAATCCTCAAACGTTGGGTCCATTGGCAAGCACACTACCACTAGACCACTGGGGCAACGTGTTCCTTTTGTTCAGAAAATGGTACATGATATAAATATTGGTATAATTAGAACTTACAACTTATTGAAACCTTTTCTAAATTGCATATTAAATTTAATATGTAGAAAAGTGGCATAGTACCTGTTCCCAGCAGTAAATGGGTAACAAGTACAATGTCTGATTCATAAATTAGAAGAATACACACTTGTTATTCACTTACTGTAGGAAAGATGTTTGATTCTCATAACATATTTGCAAAATTGAATGACATGATAAGTGATATGACATTAGGTGAGCAGATAGGATGTGTTTTTTATATTAGTATTCAATTTTCTTAGGTTATATTAATACATAATGGGACAGATGAGAAATGTGTACAAAAGTTTGGTTGGAAAACCTGAAGGGAAGAGACCACTTGGAAGATCTAGGCATAGATGAGAATATAACATTAAGATTGATGATAAGTAAGTAATGTTGTATGGTGTGGAGCAGATCCAGGAGATTAAGGATAGGTATAGGTTAGCTCTTATAAACATGGTAATGAACATGGTGTTCCACAAAAGACATTAAATTTCTTGACCATGTACGGCTATCAGCTTCTCAAGAAGGGTTCTGCTCTATGCAGATTGTTATTTTCATATGTCAGGGATCTGACAGCTTAACCCAAAAATACCGAAGAGTGACTCTGTTGTTGCTTTTACTGATTTAACTGACCTTACTTGTAAAATATTTAAGACATTTATTTGATTTTTATGTTTGGTTAGAACGGGTCGTGAATGCTGTGTTGATAGCCCTTCTCCAGATAACGACTTGTTCAAACACCTTGCAAGAGTGTATGCTAGCGCAAATCCAATTATGCGAACTGGAAATGCATGCCCTCCAGAATATTTTGGTCGTGGAATCACGAATGGTGCACATTGGTATGAGGTGAAAGGTATGTGGCTTTACACTGTGTACATATGAGCATTAAACGTTTGGTAATGTTACAACGCTTTGTTTCATCCACAAAAAGAGATTACATTTTCATTGTGTTTAAACTTCATTCACAGGTGGAATGCAGGATTTCAACTATGTTCATTCCAATTGCTTTGAAGTTACATTTGAACTGAGCTGCTGCAAATTTCCCAATTCATCTGTGCTCTCCATGGAATGGGCAAACAATAAAGAATCTCTTCTATCTTTCATAGAAGCTACACATATGGGAGTGAAAGGTATGATTGAACATAGTTTTTCATTTTGGGAATATTTTTATTGGTTTACTGACTTTTGTAACAGTTTATGTGTGAAGCACTAACCTAAAAAAGAATTGAAGGTCTCATCCTATATTTTAAACTGCTCTTGTAAAGCATACACTGTCTCAACATTTTTTCAGACCACTGTATTTATTTTATCAACACAGCAAGTAGCCTATATTCTTTATTAAATTTCTCAATTGTTTCTTCATTGGACTAATTTGAGTAATGTGTACTGAGTTAGATTACAAAATAAACTAAGCAGGGAGTGGAGAATGTTACAAGATATAAAAAGGAGTGAAGAGACTGTCTTCTGGGATGTTGCACTGTGTAGTGTGGTAGATATTGAATGATGTGTTAGAGGAGTTTTCTGCCTCCATCATCATGACACAGCATTCCGGAAAACAGCCAACCATCTTCATACTTGTTGCTGAGAGAACCTGAAATCTCACCTATAATATACAATGTTTTCTATTTGGGTACAGTTTTAAATTTATTAGTTTGGAATTATATGTGGAGCTACACAAATATTGAGAAATATTTTGTGGACTTTACATTTTAATTCTGATGCATGCAAGGTATTCTAAAACCCAGAAAAATTGTTAATGTCGCCTGTTTACTCTTATGCTTTTTGCTGTTGGAATATTCACTGCATGTTTCAAAACCAAATTCATTAATTCATGGGTTAAGTTAAAAAAAATTATAATGAAATTGTATTTGTGTTTTGGTTGCTCTAAATTAATTTATATCTCAGAAGAACATTAATTAACAATCTTGTAATCACTTTTTAAATGTATGCTGTTATTCACTAATCAAATGTGGAGAAATAATGTGTTATCTAATATGAATTTAAGAAGTTCACATAATCAAATGAAATCATTTTATTTAACTGCAAGCAGTATTCTCTTCATTTTAATTTGGTAAATTTAATTTTTGCCTGAGATTTATTTATAATATCTCAGTATTTCTACAGTTTATTATACTGTGCTGTTTATTCATTAGGTGTTGTTACTGATGAAGATGGAAATGGGATAGAAGGAGCACAAATTGGTGTGTTGGGTATACTTCATAATGTCAGTACAACTTCACATGGTGAATATTGGCGTCTTCTCCTCCCTGGCACCTACAATCTAGTCGTCTCAGCATGGGGATATGAACCAGTAACTCCTGTTCCCATAACTGTGGTGCAAGGAAATACAACTATAATGAATTTCTCCCTCAGATTTGCATCTCCACAGTCAGGTATATATAACTGAACAAAGCCTGATTTTCACTCACTTAACTGTGTCTTAGCTTCTATATTCTTTTCACATACTTCCTTTACAGTTTTCTTCCTGTGCACTGTATCTGAAAAATATTTTCAGTTTTACCACAGATATTAATCTTATCCCATTAAATATGTCTTATTGACAGGACTTCAGGTGGTTATAAATGCATTGGTGAACAAAGCCCTGTGTGCAAACAAGAAAACTGTATGATATTTAAAGTCCCTGAACCAGTTTACTGGGTAATAAATAAAAGTGTTACTTGATCATGGTACAAACATATCACATAGAGTTGATTCATTCTGTACATAAGAATTTTAGAGAGCAAGCAAAAAATATCAGTATATTGGCAGTATTGTTAGAATTTAATAATTAGATACATTGACCCTTTTACCATTTAGACTATGAGAATACAAAGAGTTCTACAATCTCTGTTAAGTAATGTACTGAAATATGAGGCTACAGAAATATGGGGAAACTGGATCACATTAAATTAACTTGTCAGTTTGTTTATTATAGGGTAAAAATGTTTATAAGTTAAAAATTGTTATTAGGCCAATGAATTTGTGTTAAAATGTTTCTTGTTACAGAACAGTTGCTGAATGGTTTTGCTACATGGGTTATAATTGTGCCAGATTAAATTAAAATAGAAAAGTATATTTTATTCATTATGCTTCACAAGGTATAACATTTAAAAGTTGGGTATAAAAGACACAGGTTTTAACAAGAAATTAATATAATTTTAGTGTAAGTTTATGTTAGCATAAATTATGCTGTACCAGTGTACTTAATCTTCGGCAACAGGCTTAAATCTACCTGAAAATCTGGGTTTATTTCCATCTACTAAATTCTGATTTATGTTCAAGGATCATGTGATCAGCGTGCAATATTTCCTTTTCATTTCATGTGTTTCATGTGACAAATATATTAACCTCCTGTTGTAACATTCTATTTATGATTTGTTAAACATGAATGTTCAAACTTCTGTGGAACCATCACATTTACATGCACCATGCACTACATGTTATTTTATACTTTCTTAGAGGAATTTTAATTTTTGCTCACATAAATGTAATAATAGTTGATTTTTATGGACACAGATTGTAAGTCTTGGTATTTTTATAGATTTGATGTTCTCATGGCCATGAAGATGTCATTGGTGGTCTTCTGGTGGTACTTAACTACAAATCCTTACAATATCACAAACTAGAAGACCACCAGCAAAATCATAACAGAAATACATGCAATATTTATTTTTTTTTAGTAAATGTCAGTTGTTTAACTCCAGTTTTATGACAGAAATTGTTATCTTCTTAATTATGCATCAAGAATAATGAGTTTGAAGAACTGTTGTATGTTCATGTGTTTATTTTTAAAACAGTAGTTGTTTGTAATGCTTTTATTCCAGTTTACTTCTTAAGCTCGTCAGATGGAAAATTATAAAGAACTTGGATGTTCATGTTTGCACCATTCTTCATCTGCATTTATTGAGAAGAGATTGATAATATCTTGTAAGAAACGTTTTGTGTGTGCGTGACATTTATGTGTTCAAGGATTTAGATGGTAGTAAGTTTTGTGTTACATAAAAGGCAGGGAGTTTCTTCAGTATCTGAACAAATATTCACTTCCCATGGAGAACTCTGCTCCATGAATAAATAAGATTTTACCATGAATGTCATAAATATGATATGTTATGAATATCATACACTGCTTCTGGTGAGTCTCATTTCATATATAGGGTTCATGTTTAATAGTTATGTACATGTATCTGATTCTGATGTGTCCGATTTTATGTGGTTTATGTTCCATCATTTGTGTATTAATACTCATATGAATATAGTCATTTTTGAATGACCTTACTTAAGCAACTACTTCTGTAGTAATGCTTGTTTTACAGAGTAATCTCATGTTGTTGCAATACATAGTTTTAATGAGCATACCTCAGTCCTGAGCAAAACAGGGACAAGCTATTGCTTTATACAGTGTATGTAAATTAAATGTTTAAATATTTTTGTACACATTTGCTGCCTTTTACATCTGTCAACAAAATAATGATTTACATACAGTGTACCTTAATATTTTGCTTTCATATTCCTCCTATCCAGTGTAGAGAAAGCACTGTATATTTTTTTTATTCTCTTTATTTCTTACATTACTACCCCTATTGTTGCTGTCTGTATAGTTTATTTGTTTGACATGATTAACCAACATCTAAGTTTTATGGCACTAAGTAGAAAATTTATGTCGATGATAATGTCCATATTAGCATTAGTGAAGTAACAGGTTTTAGTAGTTGTGGCTGAATTATTTCAACAGAGGAACAAATAATGTTCTATGTATTGGCTGGAAGATATTCTAATTGTCAGCTTTCACTAACCTTACATTGGTGTCCTCATTTGTATGTCTCTTAACTACCTCTTGTTTATTACTCAGCATAACTCATGGATACACTCGAAGGCCAAACAACTACCCATGACTCCATATCACTGATCTACTACATGTATTCTTAACCCTATAGTGTGATATAATAAGGTTACCAGTCTGTGTAGTTTACTGCAGTATTTCTGTGAATTATGCATGTTAGCAGAGAAGTAGATTACTTAGAGAAGGTGAATCATGGAAGTAATTTTGATGATCAGTAAAATAAACTTCTCATTATGTTGTTGCATAACAGTGGGGAATATGTAGATTTTTAAATTCTTGTATTACAGTTTTTAGCCACAATTTTTATGTAGCTAAATAAATATCAGTTCTGCAGACATTTTTGTGTCTTTTGTTATTCTTTTACCTTTTGCTTTACAGAATAATAAAATGGTTTTCCATTAGATTCACCTTTTCCAAGTCCTGTCATTTAAGTAACTTTTAGTTCTCAGTAGAACAACTAATAGAAGTCAAAACAAATGCCCTTGCCAAACTGTAGCATTTAAAGGAAGATATTGTCAAAAAACAAATCAGTAATTTTGTCTCAGTACACACATACTGTTTAATGTGGATAGCTGTTTGTAACTGGCTTCTCTGCAATGTAGTAATACTTTGAACACAAGATACTGTAGGAGTCACATGTAAGTTCTTCCAGAAACAAGAGCTTGGAACTGTGACATAACTAAAATGGTTGTTATTCAAAATAGCTTTAAAATTCTAATAATGACATTGGAATAGGCCAGTGGGCCTAAGCTTCAAAGCTGATGAAGAATATTGTTATCACTAAATTGTTGTCATTACTGTATAAAACAGGCATATCGAACTCATTGTCTGCATAGGGCCACTTAAAAAAAGGAGGTGACTGTTCCAAGGGCCATCAAATGGATGGAAAAATAATGGCCTCCTGCTTTACGAATTCCAAGCTTAAGCTCAGAATATTTCACCACAAGCACACACAAATGTGAATTTCACTGAGATACATTTTTATTTTATTAATTGAAATATAAAACAGTGCTATTTGACAAGCATTGGAAACTTAAATGTTGTTAAAACTGGGACATTTTGGACCATATATCTTGTATATAATTAAATTTTATTTTTAAAGCAGGTGATGAGAGTGACTTAAATGTAGTGTCTCCACCCCCACATGATGAATATGGGTTTATTACACCAACTGAATTCAAGCATCACAAGTTCCAAGAACTAGAGGCACAGCTACAACTTTTGGCATCAAATTATCCCAATATTACCAGATTGTATGAAATTGGATCAAGTGTTGAGGGCCGAAAGCTATATGTCATGGAGATATCTGACAAGCCAGGAACTCATGAACAAGGTGAGGGTTTGCTTTTATTTACATATGAAAATTGTCCTGTTTCTTCATATTTCAGTAATGTGGCCAATAGGCTTGCCACACTTTATATTGCATTTAATGCATTCTTTGCATAGTGATCATATAGTGTGAAAATTCTGTATATTTATGTGCATGTCCTAAACTACCATACTATAGAGACATTTGGTATGGGACTATACACCAAAAGGTATTGGCCAAATTCCATTTTGTCCCATGCCCTTCTACTTAAACACTACTCCCGGGGGTAAAGCCGGCCGGGGCGTGATGCTGACCACTCACCCCCATCTAGTGCCGGGGTCAAGGAAGAGAGGAGCTATACCTCCACTCACCCCAAACGCCTACATGGCGTATAGTGGGACAAACTTTACTTTACTTTATGCATGAAGTTCAAATCAAATACAATTTGTCAAGCAAGACTTGTAAAAAAACAGGAACATTTTATATAATATAGATCCCATTACTTACTTATGTATTACTTTGATGTAATCATTTTTAGGTGTATTTGCAGCTAAGAATTTTAAAAATGCACCTAGCTTTACCTTGTCTGATTACCAGCCTGTCTATCTAGTTGTAACACTGAATGGATTATACTAAAAATTTTGACCACATTCCAGTTTTGTTGAAGATCAAACAATAGTAATATACACTTTACATGAACACCTAACTGTGTCATGATGATTGACCTTGGTCCTAATCCAAGGGTTAGAACTGTATTATGCATGGGCGGTGGTGATTATAATAAACCAAACTTTGTTGGTGTAGTTAACACTCTTTATTTGTGATGTCATAGATTAAATCCTTTCTCTAGATCAGCTGTTATGTCTGAAAAATTGTTCATCATCACCACGTGCTCTACAACCCAGATCGGGTCTTGGCTTCCACTAGAAATCTCTCCCACCTCATTCTATCCTGGGCTACTTTCTTCCAATCTGAACATTTTTTATGCTTTTTAAATACCATCAACAAAAGTCTGTACTGGAACCTGAAGATAAGCCCTTCCATATTCTTAAGCACTTGTGCATAAACACTTTCTCATCTCATTTGATACCACATCACTGTAACTGATAGTGTGGCATTAAATCGACTAGAGATAATGATACTGTGTTTATTGCAGGTGAACCAGAGTTTAAGTATGTAGCTAACATGCATGGCAATGAAGTGGTAGGACGTGAACTGCTGTTACTGCTCATCAAATATCTCTGTGAGAATTATGGCACTGATCAACGCATCACAAACATTGTTAACTCAACCAGGATACATATCCTGCCAACAATGAATCCTGATGGCTATGAACATGCCTTTCCAGGTACTTCAAAATAGTTGTGTTTTCATATGTAAGTTAAATTTGAGAGAGAAGACATAACTGCCCAAGTATCTGCACTGTTTTACATCGTTGGTAAGATTTCATGTGTCTGGATGTCAAACTTGTCTCAACTTTGCCACATTTTGGAAACACTGGTACATCCCTAGAGCCATTGTGCAAAGGTGCAAATTATGTCAAATGTTACATCATAGAAGATTTAAGGTTCTCACAACAGTGAAGGTGCCCATGGTGGCTTTCTGGTTTGTGACAGTGTAGACTTGTAGGTTGTTACATCATTCTGAATAATTTCAATAGACATTTGTAATAAGTGTATTATGTTACGTTTCTTTTCAGGAGATTTCAGTAGTTTGGTGGGACGACCAAATTTTCATGGTGTAGATCTCAATAGGAATTTTCCTGATCAGTTTGGAGTTACTCAGGTACAGTGACACAGAGCATGTGTTGTAATAGTTGGAAAAGGCACTGTTACTCAAATGGCACTTAATATGTATAGTAATCCGTCATGAATTTAAAGTGCAAGGGTACAAAATATATTTGTTTTCACATAACCAGATTCAAAGTACCTGACTTACCTCAAAACAACCTGACAACTTGTCTTATGTTAACAAACAGGAAAATATCTAAATTACCTTGGGAGTGGAATTAATACTGCAGTTCAATTGCCATTAATATCATATTTTATAAGCTTTTCCAAGAATACTTTTTTTATGGATATACATGCATGAATATGTACACCATACAGTGATCTTTTACACAACATGTGATGTTGTGTGTCTTGTTTAAAGACATATTTAGTAAAGCTGCATCTGGTGTTTATAAAATTCAGATGGAGCTGATAATCTGTATGTGTGAATCCTCTAAGCAAGAGCTACTACACTGCATTTTGCATAATTTGTTATGATCATATAATTTTGTTATGTGTTACTTATAGTTCAATGCTAAAGCAGAGCCAGAAACATTGGCTGTTATGAAATGGATCCATTTGTACCCATTTGTTTTATCGGCAAATCTTCATGGTGGAACTTTGGTCGCCAATATGCCATACGATGATAATCCAACCCAGACAAGTGGTCAGCCTTATGTAACTCCAGATGATGCAGTCTTTAAAATGCTTGCAGAAGCATATTCCAGTGTAAGTTTGTATAATTATGATACTTACATAAGTTTGTTTTACAGTCTTTGGTTCAGTGTCTGTTACAGTCTTAGACTAGTGTTTGAAATTTCTCCATGAAGGTCTTTAACTATTTGGTTAAATTGGATAGTTTGGAATGAGATTCTTAAGCAGGACATTTTAAGAACATGGTTTTCCCATTTGTTTAATTTTGTTTGAATTTCGTGATTGGTTCTGTATTTATTTCCTTCATTATGTCTGAAATTCCTTACAGTTAGACACAATTATAGCATTCATTTTCGAGCAATCCTAAATACTTACAGGATATCTTTATACACACACACACACACACACATGTATATTTGTGTGTATGGTGCTATGAAACTGATCCATCTCAATTGTATACATTGACCATATACAAATATGGAAATTATCAGTTGAGTTCATGGTAGCTCTTCCCTGATTTTCTGGGGTCTTGGAAGAAATCTTACTGTACAAATGCTGAAAAATGTTTAGTTTCTTTTTTATGTAAAAAATGTGTGTTACAACCCGCTTAATTAAAATGCAGTACTTGTTTTGTGGCATGTTTATTACTCCTGAATTTAATTTTAATGTAGAAAATACCATGCCTTTTCTTATAAAAGTATATAATGAATATAAAAGAATCACATAAAATTATTTTTTCCTCTATGCTGTTATGAACAAGAAATTGATTTGACCTTTCTGATATTCCCACAGGCACACAAGAAAATGCATTTAGGAAAACCCTGCCCCAAAGCTTCAAATGAAGAATTTTCAGATGGAATAGTGAACGGTGCCAGGTGGTACGTTGTGTCTGGTGGTATGCAGGATTGGAATTATTTGAATACCAACTGCTTTGAGATTACTCTGGAACTTGGCTGTTACAAGTTCCCTCCAGCTAACCAGCTTCCCACTTTCTGGCTTGACAACAGAGAAGCTCTACTTGCTTATATTGAAGCTGTGAGTTCTTTTATTGCTTTAAAGCTGTGACTAGAACAACCATTTTCAGAATAATGCAGTGGTTATATCTTTACAGTACAATGTCTTTTTTGCTTGCATGATGTTTTGACAAACTTGCAAAGTTAATTTTTTGTTATTTAACTGAAACTAAGATAAATAATTTGTTCTGATATTTAAATATATTTGTATATAATTTTTTTCAACATTTATTTTTAATATGGGTTATACAGTTTCCTTATGAACTTAAGGCTGAAGTGGTGGTTTTGCTAAATTACAGTTAACATTAACTATCGACTGTAATTAGCAGTGAAACTTTTGTTGTAGTTTTTGGACTTATATCCCTTTACTTTGAACGAGTAATTTCACAGAGCTCTCATTATAATCAACTCTTAGTGGAGCCTACATAGGAGTTCCAGTTTTCAAGACATCTTAGCCAACTTATTCCATTCCTATTGGGTATTCTGCACACACAGAAATGGCTTATATCCTTATCCGGACTCATTTCATCCTGACGGTGGAGGAAATATGTTCCCCCAACACATTCGTAACTTCAGCCCTGAAGATTGAAGCATTATATTCCTCTGAAACTTTTATGTCTATCTACAAGCCCACAATGCAAAAATAGTAACGTCAGCTTCTTCACTGGTGTAAGGATCTCAAATCTCACTTCCCTAATTTGTTTAAAAGCAGTAGTCCAAGAACGAATTACATGCATCTAGTCTTATGACACATATACATCTTCTGTATAATAGATATTTGCCACATTTAGACAAGAATTTGTCATTTATGTCTGTTGATGAAGGTCCATAAGGGTGTCCATGGATTTGTAAGAAGCACAGGAGGTAATGGACTGAGTAATGTGACTATCTCGGTGCAAGGAATCAATCACAATATTACTACTGCAGCCGATGGCGACTTCTGGAGACTTCTGGTCCCAGGAAAATATATTGTCACAGCCTCAGCACATGGGTAAATATTCTTCCTGTAAAAATATTTTCTGAATTTATTAAACATTTATTTATTGTTCTTGTTAGTTGTTGTTATTGTTTTTGTTGTATGATGCTTCCTTGTATGGTCTGTGATGACCTTCCTCGCCTGTAGCCACATAGATAAGGCTGCTCCATTTGTTAGGCTGGAGCGCATAGTGTGGGTTCTGGGTTCCATTACTCCCATTGATGATGTGATCATGAGATTGATGGTAGGCAGAGGAGCCTACAACTCAGATTCTAATATTGTATTATAATTTCATTAATATTTAATTAAATATAAGCAGGAACCTTTGTTACTGTTCAAACATTTACTATAATTTTTATTAATCTTTGTCTTTTTATTATTTTTTGTATTTCCTCTCCCTTTTATATCTGTTTTTACTGATAAAATTCAGAGTGAGTGTGAAATATATGGTGTCATTATTTAACATAGTATTTAGTAGTATTTGGGTTGAATGTTATCTTACCAGGTTTCCCATGTATAATGTAATCACACACGGTTTCAGTTAGTGTTGTTACATTTCTGTATCGCGTTGTACAGATATGAAAGTGAAACATTGGAAGCAGTCGTACCAGCTGATGGGACAGGCAGTGTCAGTCTTAACTTCACACTTCTGAGAGATAATCCAGAACTATGGTCATCTCGCAGTGATTATGGCTTGAAAGAGAACTTAGCCTCAGGGAAATACCTCAGTAATAATGAGCTGAGACAAGCTATGGCAAGCCTTGAAACATTAAATCCATTAGTTGCTGAGCTGCATGATAACAATAATATGGTTCCACTACCAATAACTTCACTCAAACTCACAGATGAGGTATGTATCTGTCATTTTAAGTATTCCAATTAGGTTTCTGAATGTGTTGTGTTTGATGTACAGTGTGTCCACAAAGTCCCTTCTGGGTTTTGAAAAATTGTGGCGCGCAAACAAATTGAGCTAGCCACATGCAGTTAGGGGCAGATTACAGTGAAACTCTGGAAGGTTATTACTGACCTCAGTAGACCTCGATGTGGGCTCCCTTGGTAGCACAGAGAACATCCAGATGATATTCGAGCTCTTGCCATGTTCTGTGGAGCATGTCCGCTGGAATAGCCGAGATCGCATTCCTTATACGGGTCTTCAGGTCATCAAATCTGTTAACTAGTGTTCGGAACACATTGCGCTTGACATAACCTCACAGGAAAAAATCCAGTGGTGTTATGTCTGGTGAACGTGGAGGCCAAGGCATTGGACCGTCTCTGCCGATCCATCTTCCTGGAAATGTCCTGTCTAGGTATGCGCGTACCTGTAAACCCCAATGAGGTGGAGCACCATCTTGTTGCAGAATGATGTGTGACTGTAAGTGCTCAATTTGTGGTACTGCGTACAGTTCCAGCATGTCCAGGTAGGTGTTCGTGTTGATCGTCTGCTCTTGAAAAAAGAAGGGTCCAATAACATGGTCATGCATTACACCACACCACACGTTCACTTTCTGACTATCGTGTATGTGCTCCCTAACAACATGTGGGTTTTCAGTGCCCCATATGCGCACATTATGCCTGTGAACTTTACCCGAGACATAAAATGCTGCCTCGTCTGTGAACATGATTTTTTCAAAACCCTGAAGGGACTTTGTGGACACACTGTACTACTTTGTGTCTCAACACAGATGGATGAAGTTATTAATTTTGTTAAACTGCTGTGACACAGCTCTAATGTGTGATATACCTGAAAATTAAATTAACTTTTGCAGTCTTTCACTGAAGACTGTTTTGTTACACAAATCTGTATGGAAAAATTTATTGCAAAATTCTGTTTTGAATGGGAGAACTAAAAATCACTGCTGCATTAACATAATAAAATACAGTTTTGAAACATAGTTGCACTTTCACAAAATGTATGCAGTTCAAAGGGTTGTGTGAAATTAATAAATGTCATATCCTGTATTGGTAGAATCAGTAGGGTGGTGGTGAGAGGAGATTTGCACATTATAAGAGAGCTGTAGTAGCGACAAATAGCAATCATAAACATTACTTTCATTTCTCTATCTGTCATAGAAAAGTAATTATGTGTTTGCCTGAGCACTCACTGTAAACATGCATAGAAATTCTGTAAGAGACTTTTTTACATGTTAATTATTACGTATATGGTAATGGTGAAAAACAGTGAGGTTATGTGTGACAAACTTAACATAGTCAGAATCTGAAGTAGAGTAAATTATGCACAGAAATAGATTACTAAATTTATTAAGTATTGGTTTTGTGGTTCTTGCTGACCTCATCATATGGACTGAAGAATTTTAAGAAAAGTAGACATCATAAATTCTTGCTATTTAATTGAGTTTAATAATATGAGTAAGGCAGGAAGCATGACTCATTCTTGTAAATCTTGTTACATCAGTCTGTTGTGAATCATGGTAATTACTAGAAATAAATTTATTAAGTTCTTAACTATTTCTGTAACTTCTTTATATTTGTTAGCAAAGGTGACAATACTGGTACTAATATATAACTGTAAAAACATAATTAAATCAACTTCTTATTTATAAATCCAGGCTGGTGCTCCTGAGGAAAATAAATTCCATATTGTTTTGATTGGAGGACTATATGCTTCTCAACCAGTAGGCAGAGAACTTCTTATACGATTGGCTCGTCACCTGGTTGCTGGCTATGGGAGACGAAACCCCAGTATTTTGAGCATCTTGTCCAAAGCGGTTATTCATGTAATGCCAGACATTGATCCTTCCTTTAATACAACTGATAATCCTGTCTGCAATCCTCCAAACAATCCTGCAGAAACAGGGTACCAGTTCCTTGTGCCACAGAATGGAACAAGTGAAGCAGCAGATGCATTGAAGAGCATGATGGAAAAAGAAGAATTTGATTTAGCACTTAACATTGAAGGTGGTGGAATTTATGTAAGGTGAGACATTTTGATATTACAGTTTTTTAATAATTATGTAATTTATCATATACTGTGTTTAGATGATTTATTTTGGTAGGAAACTATTAAGTACATACAAATTAGAAAGGAATACTGTTGAAGTTTGTTTGTTAGTTTATGCTATCTTTTCTAGTCTTCCAACAACCGAGATTGATTCTCTGACAACGGCTGTTTTTAGAATGCTGGCTGAGCGTTACATCCGAGACCACCCTAAAATGTCTCTGGTAAGTTAAGTTTATGTAGCAATTATTTCTGTTTTTTGCTTTTCTTAGTTTCTTTCTGTAATTTAATTATATTATGTAGTTTCTTGTTTGTTTCTGGGTCCATTCGAACAAGTCTCCAAATTTCCATACATTAGAGAATTCACCATCTCTCATATTTTATTTGACTTTAGTTCTTGTATATACTAAAAATCCTTTCATGCAGCAGTGCTATTATCTGTTATTTTATCCATAGTATGATAGCTACACAATCTTTATAGTGTATATGTGATCCATGTCTGCCACTGTTTACTTGTTTTGCAACTGTTTAATTATTTAAGGGATCAAATTGCAGTACCACATCAATAATAGAACATGGCAGTATGTATATTGGCATGATAATAATACATTTCATTATTTCGTACAGTTTAAGGACACTTTCAGTGTCAGAAGTTTTTAATAGATTTATTCTTTTGCTAATTAGGAATATATATTCATAAGATTGTCTTATTGAAGTACAATTTTATTGTAAGATAAATCAAGGCACAGGATGGGCCAATCATTCTTAATAATTGTAAATACTATTGTGCCCTTAAGTTTATTGTGAGCTTTGTAAGTTTCTTTCATTATTTATATGAACATCATTTCTACAGTATAATGCAAAATTTTGTACAAAGTGGTGTGTGGTGTAAACACAAAAAAATCAAACTACATGCTGCTGTACAGTGTGTCCGTAAAATAATGGTGGGGTAACAAACAGTCATAGTTTTGGAACAAACCACGATAGAGACATGAAATAAACTTCAAAATAAAGAGAAACTCTCCAAGAATCTTACCTGTTCAGTAGATTTCGATATGCGCTCCTTTAGTTGCCCTGCAGACATCAAGACGACATTCAAGCTTTTGCCATACACGACCGAGAACATCCAGTGTGATAGATGAAACATCTTCAGCGT